ACTGGGTAGGGGGAGCATTGACGGTCGGGGGCTCTTGTGAGTTGGGGGTTTGAGACAGGGGTGTGAGGATAGGGAAGGGTGGAGGTTGAGATTTTTGCTTTTGGTATATGGGTAGATTAGTTGCTACGCGAGTATAGAGGGTGAATTCTTCCACGATATTGGGATTGTGGTTTATACGCTGCACACACACACACACACCGGGTGGATATTGCAGACTCTCAAATCCATACAATCAACACACGATGCTACCCAGCACCCACACACGTCAACTACCCTGAGAATTCCCATACCTACTCCCACTTCCCACTTCATACCGCTTACATCCCACCCATCTCCCATCCTAGACGACGCAGCCTCGAGCCGCCAAGCCAGGCCAATATACTGTTCAGAAACATCTTTGCCTCTTGTTCCTCAAGGCCTCAGCATCATCGGTAACGTCTGGTCCCGTTCATATCAGATGTCGTCTCACCATCACATCTCCCTTCTTTCTCCTCCCTCCATCACGCTCCCCACCTACCCACCTCCCCTACCATCCACCATCCATCCCACACAAACAATCGCCCCATCCACTACAAAAACCACCCAAAAATATCAAACGGTCAGAGAAGCTGTTCAGCTATCGATATAAGACCGACGACACCGAGGGGGACAAGGACGAACCACAAAACAAGCAATCCTCACAAACCACAACCAACACCCACACTTCAGACTCAACACAAGCACAATCCAAAAGGGTATACAAAATCTTTCATTCATTCTCTCCAAAAAAATCCATACTTTTATATATAACTCTCGGGGGCCTACAAAAAAATTTGCCCCAACCCTTATGTAATTGTGATACATGGAGCCGAGCCAGGTTCCCCCTTCATCCTATAAAGGCTTTCCAATAACAAAAAAGGTTCAAAACATGGTCGTCATAAAATGATTTTTCCGGGTTTTTGGGACTTGGTCGGTAGATCAAGTAAGTCGTGCCCGAAAAATGGAAGCCTCTCTCTCTCGTCGCGTGTCCGCTAATGCTCGAAATCAAACCCCAAATGTCATCAATTGGTGTTTAAACATATACTCCCGCTTGAACGCATACATGTCATGTGCTCCCTTCCTCTTCACGCACAAGCTTCACGGATGGGCAAGGCTACTTGCGTCCACCGTTACCGCCCTTGTTCACAATCTCGAGGATCATCTGGCGCGCTTGCTCGCATCCCTCGCGGCTTCCAACAATCTCAATGGCCTCGCCCTGGGCTTGGTCGCGCGGCACTTGGATCTTGGTGCCCGTCTTCTTGCGGAGTTCGTTGATCGTGCTGCCTCCGGAGCCGACGACAAGTCTAAGAAATAGGGTTAGTATGGCATCCGAAACCAATCTTTTGGAATTTAACTCACCGGTAGCTGCGCGGATCAGGCAGGATCAAGTACCCGGTAGAAGAAGGCTTCAAAGCTGCCGCAATGGCCTTCTCAAGTGCCTCACGAGCCTTGGGAAGGTTCTCGGGTGAGCCGCGTAGAATCCAGGGAATAGTAGCGGATTGATCCGCACCCTCTTCGGGGGCAGTGTTGTTGTCGATGATCTCCCAGGAGTGCTCGTCTGCTCCAGTCGTCGCATCGTCGGTGATCAGAGGAAGAGCACCATTGGCGCCCTTCCTCGCCTTTCCAGCCTCAGCCTGCGCAGGCTTGGCGGGAATCTTGTGTCCACCGTGGTCAACGGTGACCTTGTACTGGTTGCGAAGCTGACGGAAGAATTGGCCGTTGTCCGAGATGGCGTGGTGGAGATGACGAGGAACCTCAATGGTCTCGCCTTCTTGGCTCTTGACGAGCTCGAGAATGTGCTCCTTGGCCTTCTCGACTGCAGAGGGCTCACCAGTAATCTTGACCTGGCTGCGTGCAGCACCTGTAGTGGTCTGCTTGGGAATGTCGAGCTGGATCTTGAGTTGCGACTCTAGAGAGCGGCGAGTCTCGCCACCACGGCCAATAAGCAGACGGTGCTTATCAGGGGAAATCTCCAAGGTCTCAGTAGTCTGGTTCTCGAGCGAGGCGACTTGTGCCTTGAGGGCAGCAACAATCTTCTCAACTACGCTCTTGGGTCCTTCAATGCGGATTGATGACTCATCAGACTCAGCACGAGGGAAGCGCACCATGCGTGCAAGATCGCGCGAGTTGTCTGGTCCTCCAGCAGCAGTGACGACGGAACGAATGTTTGCTCCACTGCCACCGATAAGAGTCCTGTGGTGCTTCCTGTCGACATCAAGAGTCTCCACGATAGTGTCATCAAACACTTTCGCACGCTCCTGCAGGATCTTCTTAGCCTGCTCGACCTGCTTCTTCGTTCCCTTGATCTTGATCTCAGCACGTCCAGAGGGATCAGCACCCTCACGAGCACCAGGAACATCGATTTGGGCGCCAGTCTCCAGACGGAGATTCTCCATCTCGCGCCCACCGGAGCCGATCAATTGTGGAATCTGGCTTTGCGCGACTGAGACAGTGTCACTGAATGAAGTGTCCATGATGTATTGGAGTAGCTGCAGCACCTCCTCACGAGCCTCATCTGCGCCCTTCTTGGGTCCACGGACAATTACCTCGTCTTGGTTCTGACTGCGAGCCTTGCTCTGGGAAGGAGCGTTGGAGCCGGCGTCGTCATCGTGCTGAACGCGCCTGGGAAAGTTGATGCGTACACCATAACGGTCCTGGAGGCGCTCGACCTGCTTGCCTCCGGCTCCAATGAGATCACGGTGGTATTGGGGCTTCACCTTGAGGATGTGGGTAGTTTCGTCCTCGAGCTTCTTGGCCATGTCGAGAATATCCTTCTTGCATTTTTGGGCCTTGGCAGATGGCCCCTTGAGCTCAACCTTGCCGTCATTGATCTGGACATCAACGTCGTACTTCTGGCGCAGACGCTGAATGTTCTCGCCACCCTTACCAACCAGATGACTGGCATACTTCTGGGGGAAGTCGAACGTGGTGACGTGATTGCGCTCGAGCTCATCCTTCTCGGCCTGCTCAATGAATGCCAAGATCTTCTTGTTGAACTCTTCAACTGCGTTGGAAGGTCCACGAATAGCGAAACTGTTGTTGGAGCGACTGTGGGCCTCAGGCCGACGCTGGCCAAACAGAACCTGTACAGGCACCTGGTCGTTCGACAAGCTGCGTTGCTGGTCGTTGACAAACTGCTCAATCTTGCGGTGGAATTTGGGATTGGACTCCAGACCGCGGGACTCAATTTTTGGCTGGTTGCTGGTGAGACCTAGAATATACTTCTGTGCATCCTGGAGTCCCTGTTGGTATGCCTTGATCTCTGCAGCAGAGGGCCTTTGGCGTGGGATCGTGTACTGATCATATGGGCTGTTACTGTCCTCATAGACAAGGACCAACTGGGGTGAGTTCTCAGACTCTTCTGGGAACACAATGTGCACGCCATGATCCTGGCGGACCTTTGGCGCGTTCCGTTCGCGAAGAAATTGGTGGTAGAATGGGTCGACATTGATCGTGGCAAATCGGCTCGGGGGGTGGCTGGCGAAGACATTCATGACATCGCTACGAGCCTTCATGCTATCCTTTCCGTTCTTGGCATAGATTTCCCATCCAGTTGGGCCATCGCGGTCAGTAGGTACGACAATGCTTGCATCATGGGCAGCCTCTAGCTCCTTGAGGACCTGGCGCTGACGGAGGTAACGAGTCAAGTTGTGTGCATGATCCTGGGCGTTGGGACCCTTGTGCTCGCGAGCAGCATCAGCTGTGGCCATAGTCATGCTGGCCGCGAGATCTTCCAGCTTGTTGATACCCTGCTCGATCCTATCGGGAGGTCCAACGACATAGACGGACTCGCTGTCGTCTCCAGGTGGGGGCAAGACTATCGTACAGCCAGTCTCCTCCAAGAAGTCGTGTAGCGAGTTGCCTCGATCACCAACGATGAACTGATGACGGCCCCTCTCAATAGATCGCTGATCAACAGCCAATTGCTGGCGCAGCTGCTGAACCCGGAGTTCAATCTCAGCTTGGACCTGCTGTGCGGCGACTCGCTCACCAGAGACTTGGATGGGATAGTTGGCCTGGGGAGCAAAAGGAACTGGCTGGCCTCGTTGAGCTTGAGGAGGAGCCTGCGAACGCCAGGTGTGGTAGTGCGGGATCTGAAGGTTCACGTCACGACCCTGAACCAACTTGTCGGTGTGAGAGTTATGAGGTCCGGCCAGAAAGGGATAGAACTCGGCAGGAATGTCTTTGAGACGCAAATTGACGGTCGAGGTACGCTCGTTGACGATTGCCTCGATCTCACGGCGAGCCATCTCGGCGGTAAGCGCATTCCCCTCGATATGTACGTTGACAACGGTATCATCATCTTCGCCAGCTTCTGCCTTGGGAACCTGGATGCGAGCACCGGTGCGCTTGCTAATCTCCTGGATCTTGGCACCCTGACGACCGATGATGTGAGCACGGACGGAGGCGGGAACGGCGACGTCGACAGATTGCTGTTATTCATCAGTTGAGATATTTCATGTCGTGTGAGACTTGACTGACCTTGGATCCAACCTCATCAGCGATCTCCTTGAGAGACTGCCTCACAGCATCGGTTGGGCCAGTAGACTCGAAGATGACCATTCCACCTGGACCAGACTTGTACTCGACCTTGGCCTTGGAGCGCCTGTTGATGTCACGGATAATGTCATTGACAGGCTTCTTGAGCTGCTGGCGAGGGGTGAGCTGCTTGGGAGAGAAGGAGATGCGTTCCGTGTGCTTTCCAGGAATGTTCATCGAGGGAAGGGCAGGGCCACGACCAACCGCTGGAGAGGCAGAGGGTCCATTGGCACCCGCACTACCGTTGACGCCATTGGAAGTGACAACAGCAGGCTTCTTACCCCATGTAGGGGCAACAGACGCCTGAGCACGGGGCTTGACGGGACCGAGAGCTGGGAAAGCCTCCTCAGAAGAGGTGTTGAGGCCGGGCTTCTTCGCAGAGGCAGGGGTATCGTCGGCCTTTTGCTTTCCAGCCGCCTTCTCGCTGAGGGGAGCTGCAGCGTCGGAAGTCGAGTTGGCGGAGGGCGGCGGGTGATTGAGGTCCTCCTCATCAGGGACATCCTCGACGGTGACATGGTGATCGTGTTCTTGCATCAGCTTCTGCGCAGGGGTCAGGCCCTCGGGGGCAGTGCTGGCAGCTGCTTCAGATGCCATTTTCAGTGTATACCGTTTCGATTAAACCAAAGGGTGTTTTGCGTAGACGGTGGGTGGGAGTGGCTTAGTGGGAAGCCAGGTTGACAACGGCGGTGGGAGAAATCTTGGGGATTGGCGTGTATGCTGAGAAACGAGAGAGAGAGATGGAGTCAGCAAGCCAGATCTCAGCTAAATGAGAAAGAGAAGCGGCTCTCACTGAATAGAAGACTGTTCGTCCTGGCGCGTGGGCTGTGCGTACCGTGAATTTGTGTGGGCTACTGCTTCGAAGCTTAGCCAGAATATTGATCTCGAAGGAAGTGGAGATGTTCAATTGGCCGTACCACTGCGGGGGGTATGTGCAGCGCAGACTTGAGGGTATATTGGGTAGGCTACTATATAGTACGTAAGCAAGGAGCCGAGAACGGAGAGCAAGACGAGGAAGCTGAGCTGCTTTGGTGGAGATGTGGCCAGCCGTCCAGAATGTCCTCGAAGTTGGGGGTCCTTGAGCACGAGCCAACGCACACTATACGCAATTGGAATTGGCGGGGAAGCAGGGAAGCAAGTTAGTGTCGGCTCCCGACCATGGGTACCTTTTCTATCCAAACACCACTCCCCAATCATTCTCCCTCATCACCCTTGTACTTTTCTCAAGTCATGAAATATTCCACTGCTGTGACTACGTTTGTGGTTTCTAGCTGCAGAAGGTTTCCTTTTGCAACAAGCTAGCGTTTCCAACAAACCAAACTGCAGCTATATATTCACCATTCAATAGAAAAAGTATATCTTAACAATCATCGACTTCCACCCTTCTTCTAAGAGAGAGAAAAACAAAAGAATTCAATGAAATCCAGCTAAAAAAAACACAACCATGTATAAACAAACTCCTCTCACTACCCCAAGCAATCAAGACCCAACACCCCCATCCACAAAAAAGAAATGAAAAAAAACCCCCCTCACATCTACTCCCCATGCTTATCATCCAACTTCTGCCTCATCTCCCACGTATACCTATTCCCCGACCCATCCTCCTCAGGATCCGTAACCTTCCCCCCCATCACCCCCACCACGCCCTCCCCACTCATCCCCTCTCTCCCAACCTTATCCCCCCCCGTCCCGTCCATAACACAATACGCCTTGCCCAGCCCGCCCGCATACTCACTCGTCAGCATGCTCTCAAACTTGTAAAAGCACTTTTCACGCGTGACATGGCCCCAGCCCATGCTGTTGCGGGTGGAAATTTTGAATACCCAGGAGATGGGTTTGTTGTCGAAGGCGGTGAGGAAGACGGTCATGGTGATGGGGTTGTTGGGGTGGATGTTGCTGCCTTTGGGTTTGAGGGCGGCGTCGCAGAAGGCGTGGATGGCGCTGTAGTAGCTGGATTCGGTGGGGAGGTGGCGGTGGGGACAGGTTCCGGGGAGGGGATTGGCGCGGGGGGAGAGGGGGGTGGTGGGTTGGGTGAGGTTGGAGGGAGATTGGATGGGGGAGGAGAAACTGAATGGGAGGAGGGAGACGAGGGAGAACAGAGTAAAGAATGAGAGATACATTTCGATCTTGATAATTTTGACAGCTCTGCCTTACAAGGCGATTGGTTCAGTAGTTTCACGGTAACAGCAAGTAAACTTTGTCAGTGTGACCAGACGATGAGAAACTTCGCGAGAGATAAAATAGGTCAGACGATAATAGATACACTGGCAGAGGAATCCATCCCAGTATATACATCCCAGTACCCACACTTACTCCAAACCAACCCAATAGATATATTTTCTAAAAACAACTATTATCAAAAGATATGAATCCCTTTGAAATAATGCATCCCCGCATATTCGTCTTCCGCAAGGCTCTTTGTTGGAGCATCTTTGTCTCAAAGAGGCGCTACATGAGATCAAAGAAACCGAGAAAGGCGCTTTGTTCAAATGCACGCAAAGACATTTTCCACAGTGAGAATAAAGCTACACTTGGCGTGTGTGTCACGGGTAAAACAGCGAATGAAGGAGACCCAGGCGTGTTCTCTGGAGGAGGATAGGATAGGGCAGTAGGAGGTGAGTCAACAATAAGCACATGCTTTAAGGCTTGGGTATTTTTGATCTATCGATGCTATGATTTCTCTATGCATCGATCTGCAAACTGAACAGTATGTCAAAGACGGAAATATTTTCCTGCAATTACAAGGTGCATGTACAATGAGAATCCCCCCCAACTAGGCCAATCTAACCCATACCCGATGTTCACCGGTAGAAACTTTCGTCTCCACCAACAGGTGGTGCACTTGGTGCTTGACCTCCAGGCCGATATGGTAAATATGTTTGCGCTGCCGGTGGGGGGCTGCTTGAACCTCCGGGAGGAGCAGGCGGTGCATAACTCGGTTGCGCTGGCGGGTATCCATAGCCTTGCTGCGGTGGCTGCGGCTGGGTATAAGGCTCCGAGGGAGGCTGGGTATCATGGGGAGGTTGCTGTGGAGGTGGCGACGAGATGTGCTCGTATGATGCTTGCGGTTGTTGCTGTGGTGGGGCACTTTGCTGCGGAGGATAGCCTTGCGGTTGCGATGGAGCAGTCTGCTGGGGATGGTAGCCTTGTGGCTGCTGAGAAGCTGGAGGATAATCGTATCCTTGTGGTGCTGAAGGGCCTGCTTGTGGTGGGTTTGATGGGGCAAAAGTCTGCCGATTGTCCACAGGTGAGTCGTAATGGCCAGTAGACAACTCCTGAGGAGCATAGCTTTGCGGTCGTCCACCTACAGGAACCCTACCTTGTGGTAGAGCATAAGGATCGGATGGTGGCCCTGGCTTTGGTGTCTGTTGCTGGGGTCTTTCACCGGGTGGCGCCATGAAGAATGCGGGATTCGGTCCAGCAGCAGGGTAGGGAGGTGCCTGGGCTGGAGGAGCTCCGCCACCATAGCCATAACGCGCATCTGGCTGCTGCGCAGGTGATGCAGGCGGGTAACCGGGGTAGTTGGAGGGAGGTGGTGCGTTGTAAGCTCCATAAGCCGGACGGCCTCCGTATGCGGGCTGCGGAGGCTGGGACATGGATGCCTCGAGCATCGACTCGTAGTCACGACGAGCTTTGATAAACTTCTCATTCAACTGTGTGAAGTCGTCTGGGCATCATTAGCTTTTTTGCTCTTCCGTTATTGGCTCGGCACACAGGTTACCTTTCTTTTGTGAGTACTTCCCGATCAACTCAATGAGCTTCGGTCTAATAGCCAGCGTTGAGTGATACAGTTCCGTAATCTCCTCGTTGTCGCGTACATCGCTACCACCTGCTTGAGAGCTAGTACTCAGCAATGCAAGCAATTTCTCCACATTCCGTATTTGCGCAAACACTTCGGCTTCCATTTGCGCCTCCTTCTCCAGCTCTTCCTTTGTTGGATCTTGTAGTTTCTCGACATAATTGAGGGGAAATATGCCCGTTTGTCCACGGAGGGATCCTTTCCACCAGTCCTTGTATACTGATTCTAGCACTGCGATGATGTCACCCTTGCGGAACTGCAGCTCACCAGGCTCCGAAGGCTGGAAGTCGAATAGCGCTCGCACGCGTGAGACTGTCGCTGCTGTTGTACCCGACGGCTGTGGCTGCACTGGCTGTGCAGGCTGTGAGGAGGATGCGTGGCTCGACTCTTGTGGGGCGTTTGACTTGGCTGCAGATGGTGCTGCGCCCTTGGATTCCCGTATCGACATAGCCAGTGCCATCTGGAGCTCTTCTTCTTCCTTCTGGCGGTCCGTATCCGAGATTTGCGTCTTCTGTGGCTTTGAGGGGGCCCGGAGATTTGGGTCTACGACAACTGTCAGCCAGGCGATTCTGGGAATTCATCTTGGAAAACATACTCTGTGACTTTAGCTTCATATACGCGCCGGCCATGATGCCCAGATCAGGATCGCGCGCAAACATATCCGACCATTCTGCCATGCGCTCCAGAATCTTAGCCTTGACCTGCTGGTGCGTGTTGCGGTCGTTTGCCAACCGTAGCAGTGCATCTGTGAAGCTTCTCGATGCAAGCTCCTTGTGCATCTGTATGCCACAATTCTGGCTGAGGGCGTTGGCAAGCTCGAGGGTGTAGAGTTGCACGTTAGCATTGCGGTGTGCTAACCGCTTGATCATGGCGGCGACAGCATCTTTCGCGCCCGTATCAGAAGATCCGACTTTGTCGCATACATCCTAACAAAAAAAACTGTCAGTTACTGCCGCTTCTCACAAGCACCGCGTAAGATGCAGACATAACGTGATGTGCAAATGGGAGAGTCGTGCGAGCCAAATGCTTTCCAGACTCCCGCGCACTTGCTACGTAGCGTTCAAGGCTTACCAGAATATATTCCCAGTTTTCGCTAGTCAAATTCTCATCTGTAGCCTTGCCGACGACATCGTCGAAGATGTTTGACTGTGCGCGGAACATGGTGGTTGCCTGCTTCAGTGCTGGTCGGTATTGGGTGCGGGCAAAGCTTCCTCAAGGCGAGGGTAACAGAGGGAATGACGCAGTGGGTTGCGGCGAATGGTCAAGGGGATGGAGAGTTAGGAAACAGGAATCGTGAGGGCAGTTACTGCAGCGTCGTTATAGCCAAGGATAAACTGCGAGGCGGGTGTCGTAAGTGTACTTGTATAAGCTTTGGAGTTCGTGCAGCATGCTACTGCGCCTGCCTCGTCGGGTGATGACGAGGCGCGTGGCGTGGCGTTCCATCCTCACTCTCACAGGGTTGGGCTGCAGGCGTGAACGAGGGACCCACTCCGCCTTCTGATTTTGCCAAGATATAACGACGACTTTGTTTTCTTCTACAGAAATACGGCAAGATATCATCGTCGAAGCTTGACAGATTTGCAGCATAGACGCAAAGATCCTCATAACACACAGATGTCAACATCGTCTAACTTGATTGGACAATTCACTGATGATAAGCAGAAGACTTGAGTTTTGTTCAACCTTTCCATATGCCATGTGTCATTGCCACCATCTCGGTAGCAGCTCCCACGGTTCCAGAACTTTGATGACGTTCCAAAACTTGATGTGTCGGGCATATCTATCCTCCCCCTCCCAGCATCCCGCAGTCGTGTAGATTGAATGGCATTACAGGCCGACAAACGTAAAACCGATACCACAAGGACAGGAAGCCTCAATATATCAGGAAACTGCTGTTGCTTGGCTTCGAGGGACATGCATAATGCAGCGCAAACCCAGATGATGCGCTTGCTGAACGCTCGACAATGATTTTCGAAAGGCTTCGCATGGCACAGTTCGAGGCTTCGACCTTTGCAAACTGGCTGCTGAGCCAAACGAATGAGACCGTGACCCGGCCCGCTGATCGATAGCTGCTATAGGTTGCTGACAGTAGTAGAGTCGTCACCCTGTACTTCAAAGATTGGCTGCGTAAGCCAACCAAATGACTAGGCAGAAGAGAAAGGAAAACATGACCCTTTCTGCGCCATGGGGACCGCTCTATATTTCAACAGTCTTGCCGTACCACTCGACGTACGATTCAGTATTCCTGCGTGTTTTTGAATCGTTGTCGGAAGTTTGTGACGCAGCCGCTCCTAAGGACTGGTGTTAAGAGAGAATCACAATCAGATGGAATCTCTACAGACCACCCTTCTTTCTTCTCTCCTCTGCACGAGCTTTTCTAGCTGCTTGCACCAATGGCGCGAGAGTGTTGAGCGGCTCAGCAGTCTGGATGAAGGGGTGCTGGACAAGGGTTAGTCTTTGCCATGCTTCATCTTTGAGGGGCGGCGGGCTACTTACGACGAGCAGATCGTGAGCACTGGCTCGTTTGTCTGGGTCGACCTTGAGCGAGAATCCGAGGAAGTCGCGAAACACTGGCGACAGAGTGTGCTCTTCCTTGATGGTAGGTGTGCCATTGGTTGCGATCAACCAGAGGGCTCGAAGAGGGCTCTCGTTGAGGTAAGGGGGCTCGCCTTCGATCATTTCAATCGCCATGATACCCAAAGACCAGATATCAACCTTTCGACCGTACTCTTTGCGGGTCACGACTTCGGGCGCCATCCAGTAGGGTGTACCGACCATGGTCGTACGCTTGTTGTGGTTCTCGTTGATCTGTGCGCAGAATCCAAAGTCGGCTATTCCTTCCAATTAGCCATGTTTCTACAACTTCTCGAATAAACAAGGACGTACTCAGCTTGATATTGCCCTCGAGGGACAGCAAAATGTTGTCTGATTTGATGTCTCGATGAATCACGCCCTTGGAATGGAGATGCTGCAGGCCATGTAGAGTCTGAAGAGTCAGCGCAGGGAATCAACCATGGGTCATCGTCGGAAACTTACCTCTCGACAAACAGCAGCTATTTGACCCTCTGACATCATGTTGAATGTGACGACATCCGTCAAGCTACCTCCCTCCATATATTCCATTACTACCCAGAGATCGCCTCTGACAAGGAAGCTGTCCATGAAATTGACAATGTTCTTATGCTTGCTGTCCTTCATCACTAGAATCTCGTTTATAATGAGGTCTTTCTTGGGCTGCTGCTCGAGATTCATCTGCTTGATCGCAACACACTTGTTCGTGCCCACTTCGTACGCTGTGAAGACGCCTCCAGATGCGCCCTGACCAATCTTGTTCAGCTGGCGGTACCTGAGGGTTGGGTCGGCATTGGTACATATGGCGTTGAGCTTGGCGACAATATCTGGACCTTGGCTCTGACGGGGCCGTTGACGTGGCCGAGGCGCCGGACCTACACGAGCCTGCTGTGATGGCAAGGGGATGTTTTGCGGATCCGTCTGCTGTGCAAACACTTGCTGCGGTGAGGGTTGCGTGGGCACAGGTGTCGGGGCGTGATGGTGAACGGGCGCGGGGGCTCTCTGGCTGACGCTCCTACCAAGCGAGGCCTTTGACTGTTGCTGAGCAGCGGCGGCCATGGCCTGCTGTTGTTGCTGGTGGTATTGCTGGGCAGGCGAGATTGCGGTGGCGCTGGCAGGCGAATCGAACCGCGGAGGTGTACCGCCCGTCGTGTTTGCCCGACCTCGCGTGGTTGGCATTGATCCATTGGGGCTATCCGTCGTCGTAGAGGGTGTGTGTGCATACTGCGGGTACTCATTTTCATGACGTGGTGTTGGCTGCTGCTGGGTGATGATTGGGCTTGGAGCGGGTGGAGCGGGTCGTGAAGGAATGGTATTGGTAGAGCCCGGTCCGGCACCTGGGGGACGGGGTGCTGGCCGGCTGGGAACGAGGTTGGCATTGACCTGAGGCGACTGGGGGACGGTGGGCGAGGTGACACTTCGTGGAATGGGTGGCGGTGCACGTGGGTTCTCGAAGCTATCCTCGCCATTCCGCGGAAATCGAGGGCTCTGTGGTGGACTGAGGGGTTGTACGTTGTTGTAGGTGGGTGCGAGGTTGGCTTGGTATGCGTAGCCTTGAGGGTTGGCTGGACCCATCTTGTCCCAGATGGCATCGTCTTCGTTCTTTTCGGCATTGTCCTTGTAGAAGTTGACGACATCTACGGCAGCCTGTGGATACTGCTTCTGCTCCTGCTCGGTGATGCCATTTTGCTGTAGCATGCGCTGCCACTCTTTTGGAAGACCCTAGGGATGATTAGCACGCAAGCCCAGCGTTAGAGAGAGAGTCGAGTTGTTGATGGTGGTAGTGGGAGTGGGAAGTGAGGGCGACATGTGAATAGCCACGATGATAAGGCGTGGTGATGGTAGCGATAGTGGGGTGGAGTGGGTATGCAGGGTAACCACGTACCGTGTACTCGCCCGTCTCGTTGTCAATGCTGACGTGGGTGACGTGCATGGGGTTGGTGGGCGTCGAGATGGTTGGGCGGCGCGGGGAGCCCAGCATGCTGTTGACGAAGCTGGCAAAGGCGCCCTTCTTCTTGCCGCCGTCGGAGCGCCGCTTCTTTGCCATTTCGCCATCGTCGCTGTAGCGGTTGCGCGGACTCTTGGAGCCAGAGGGCGGGGTGTCCATTTTGCGGGCGAGTGAATTGAACGAGGCAGACTGGCGCAGGTTGGGAGATTTCTTCCTGGCGACGTGGTCGGCTGTGTGGGCGTGTTGTGGGCCGGCGGGGCGGCGGGCGTCTGGAAGGTGAGAGGCGTGGAGCGCTTCCTCGACAATGGCATTGAAGGGCACGCCAACGGCCGCGGGGGGCAGGTGCTGCGCAACCGAGGAGGGTGGCAGCGGCGGCGGCGGTGGTGGTGGCTGCTGTGATTGTTGCTGGTGGTGGTGGAGCTGTTGGTGTTGGTGCTGGTGCTGGTGCTGGTGCTGGTGCTGGTGCTGGTGCTGTTGTTGCTGTTGCTGTTGGTGCTGTTGTGATTGTTGCAGCTGCGGCGGCGGGTGGAGGTACTGGTGCTGCTGGTGCTGCTGGTGCTGCGCGGGCGCAGACGGATAATTCACATAGGCGGTCGAACGCAGCTCGTCATGGATAGGCGTGTGTGCATGCGAGGACGATGGCGAACGTTGAAGTGAGGAGGTCACCGGCGTGGGGGCAGCTTGATTGGGTGCAAAGTAGCTCGCTGCGGAAGGCGCTCGCTTCAGCGTCGACGACTTGTACTTTGTGTTATTATACGCAATCGGAGGCGCGCTTCTCTTGGTCAGCCGGCGCGAGGCCGTTTTGATGCGCGATGATGGCTGTTGCTGCTGCTGCTGTTCCTCCATCCTTCCTATCGACAGCTCTACCTACCGCCGGGGTTGGCGACCAGTCAACCAAGGGATCAGCTTCAAATAAAAAGGCGGCTAGGGCCCCAGCACGCAGCTTTGTACGACCAACAGGCTGCACGACCTGCAGGTAGAAAGGCAGCGAATGGGAAGCGAGTCGGCAGCGCTGTCAGGACGTAGAGGGCAGCGCGGGCAGGATGGTGCGTTGATTGGGGGGGACGAGAGAGGAGAGAGAGTGGGTGTGGGTGTAGGTGTGGGTGTGGGTGTGTGGGCGGTGGGCGGTGGGCTTGACAACAGACAGACAAGTCGTGGACAGACAGACACTGACACTGACACTGAACACACCTGGACACAGACAGACAGACAGACAGAAAGACAGACACACAGACGGACAGACGGACAGACAGACGAGACCAAGACCACAACAGCAGAGCGTGCAGAGCCAGCAAGCACTTACCTAGCTTACCTAGCCAGGGCTCACACCAAACCGTGGGACTAGCGACTAACTACATACACTGTGTAGATACCCTAGGAAGAGGCACTATAGTACAGCCGGCTCTTGCAGAAAATCGCTGCCCGCCCGCCGTCATCCAGCACAGACAGACAGCGGCCAATTGCGTAGGCGAGCATTTTTGGCGTCCAAGGGCCTCGAGTGAACGGCGCAACCGTCGACTTTGCTCCTTGCTAGCCCCCCCTTCTCCCCCCTTCACCCCCTTCCACCCCTTCCACCCCTTCCACCCCTTCCACACCCCTTCACCCTTTGGCACTCCACCGCCGACAGCGTGCCGAGCAAGCGGTTTCAGGCGAGTGGCTCCCTCTCATTTCGAGGCGTGCAAAACGAAAGCCCATGCGTCCGTCGCCTACGGGCTGCTGGAGCCCGCCCTGCATCGTGGTGGTGGGACTCGTGAGATAGTCTCGAGAGTCGTGGTAGTGCTGGCTGCTGCTGCTGCTGCTGCTGCTGTTGCTGCTGGGCTGCTCAACTCTCATGCGGCCTTTTGTTGGACATCACACCGGTCCAAAAGCAGCGCGTCCCCTGGTGTGCAGTAGAGTGGGAGGAGGTACTATGGTAGGACCTACCGGTAGCTGCTCCAAACGGCTCCCCCAAACTCTCCCACGCTGCCATATGGGTAAGACGACAGACAGTACAGTACATACACAGTACAGTACACCAACCGTCGACACTTGCCTGTCCAGTGCTGCTTGCTCACTGCAAGACGGGCCCATGCTGCTGCACTCGCCGAAACGGGAGAGCGATGCTGACTTGCAACCGCCTGGCCAGCTCGCCGTGAGCTGTAGCATCTGATTTCTCCAAAAAAAAAATCCATTCCAATGCCACATGGCCGCTCGCTATGAGACCTTTTCGAACAGCCTTGTCTTTGCCACGCCTCTTTGTCTCTCGCTTGCCTCACCGCAGCTTCCCCTTGGAGAATGCGGCTCTCTCTCTCTCTCTCTCTCTCTCTCTCTCTCTCTTCCCCACCATCACATGCCAGGCCAGAGACTCCACACGCCCCGCATCTCTACCTAGTACCACCACGACACCACCGCTACCTCAACTCCTCTGCAACAACTGCAACAACAACAGCAGCATCAGGCGTCACGTCCGACTTGCATCGCTGCACAAATGCAGTGCAAAGTACTCGCGAGCCGTCTTGCCAGACTCGCTGGATGTGGCATTTCCCAATCAGGAAAAGATACCCCCTCACGAGATACTCCAATAAACTTTCTCTTCTAGCTGACCATGGGAAACGCACACAGTCTGGACTCTACTCTCCTGTCATCTGTGTAGAGAGCCTGCTCCTGCAATTCTTGATTTTTCATTTACTTTATTTCCTACTACTTAAATTCTCCCGCCCTGGCTACGCGCTAGGTACTTGACGACCAGGGAAGGGAGACTGTGCTTTAGGGAACGTTGCACACGTTGCGAAACTCAATCTCCCCAGATGAATCCATACTTTTTTTCTGGCTGCCGCACCTCACAGCAAAAGATGCCGCAAGGCGTTCAACGTCTTTGCTTCTGAAACGCCCCACGCGTGCACCACAGCCTGCGCAAGTAGGTCATCGTTGCACCGCGTCTCTATCCGACAGCGCCCACTCCAAAAGGAAAAGGGACAACAGGTCATCTGAAAAAGTTTCGGCAGACAGCAGTCAAGTTAGGCACACTGGCGTTCCGAGTCTGCAGAACACGGCATCTTCTCAACAAGCCAGAATCCTTGCTTGGAAACAGCGAGGTGGTACGGAGGATGCCATTTGCGCATTTGCCAAACAGCTTACTTCACAACTTGTCCATGCCATGCCACGGAAATGAAGAAGCCTACCCACAAGCATACCCCTCCCGCGGTGGCGGCACATCTCCCGGCCGCGATGCACGCTACGGACGCACCACGACGCTCCCGTCGACCGTTATGCTGGAATCGCTGATCTTGACCGAAACCTTAATCAGGCGGACAATTTCTCTCCACCACGCCATGCCCATTCCCTCGCGTCTCTCGCAGTCTAGACAAACTTGTGCCTTGTCATGTGCGACAGCGGGCCTCTGTCCCTGTCATCTAGGTATCGTGAGCCGCTACGGCTTGCCAAGTCCTCGCTGTCACCACCCGTCTTGAGATTGTGACGTAGGCTAGATTCTGGCCTTGGGGCGATGTCGAGAGTCCTTGCACATACCTTACCAGTCTTTTACGCCCCCCTACATCCATACTCGCTAACCTAGATTACGCGCATGTAATCGTTGTACAATCTCCCCCAAACCAGGTCCATCCCAACTAACTCCCCAGAGCCGTAGCCAGACCTCCACTGAATCTTACATTGCTAATTCAGCGCTACGCACAAACTGCAACGCACCCAGACACTCTGCCGCTTTGTAGCCTTATTTGCCAAAGTGGTAGAAATCGTAGAACTCACTATCCGTACTCAGACTCCCCCCCGCAGTATGGTCCGCTACGGTATCCTTTACTTTTAGTATCAACACTTGCGCTAACTCGCAACACGCTTGGCTGGTTTAGCAGGCCACTGACTTGGGGTGTTGGCTGCCGTAGTAGCCGTTGTTTCGCTAGTAGTGGTCTGCGCTTGTATTTCTGGGGTCGGTGGTGCGTGGGAGTGGGAGTGGGCGTGCTGGGTTTTGTTGTTGTTGGGGTTCTGGGGAGTGCATGATGGTATGTAGCGATCACATTTACTTATACCGTAGAATGTACCGTATAATTTTTTCATTGAGACTACGGGTATAAGAATAGCTGGTGTGTTGTAACTCTATCCGCGTTTACACGATTTCCATTGGCTTACGTAGTTGTTATATGCGTAAACCGTGTCAATCTACACCTGTATACCTTGTTCCCCCGTTCCACGCACTTTTTCGGTCATGCTGCCTGGTTTGTATGGCGCTTATCATCATCATCTTTAACATCCCACAGTACCATGTGCTGGAATCCTCTACTTACTTATGCCAAATCCCTCACACACCAGTCCTTATCCACTCCATTCCAAAACTGCAAGCTGCTAACTGGGAATTGTAGAACGGTACGGTACCATACCATCCCCAACGCTCTCCTATCCTACAAACGACCGTACCGTCCGTTGCAATCTCTAGCTTTCTTATTATACTAGGCTTGTATCCTTACAGCGAGATAAACCCTCCCGCACTCTATCCCTAACGCAGATTCATGCCCCTCTCGGAAA